AAGGCGGGTGGCAGTGGCCAGATGTGCCAGACGTGGGCTCTGGCTCGGGGAAGGGCTGCTTCCAGGAGGCAGCACAGCTGGAAACCACGGCTCCGTGGGCGGAGCCGCTGGGGAGGCCGTGGGGCGCTGCGGAAGGAAGTCGCAGGGAGGACAGAGCTCTGAGGTCTTCTCACTGCCGCCAGCGGGGAGCCCTGAGCGGATCCGCTTAGCTTTCTTCTGTCCCCAGCCTCACTTTTTTTCCGTCTGTACAGTGAATTTTAACTAAAACCCACTGGTTTGGTAAATATTGTGGTGTAACACCTGTGTTTGGCTTACCTTCATGAGAGATAGGTCCTACCTTTAGTTTTTGTTACTACACGGTATCAAATATCCTATTTTTGGTTACTACTAAGGAATGTAAAAGTAATTTGTGAAGTATATGCTTTGCATGGTGACTTCAAATGGTCTTAATCAGATAAATGAAATAAGATAAACTGATTAGTGCAGACACCTATTTATATTTAGAATTGTTTATTCTTTGACACGTGCAATACCAAACATTTAACAATCTTAGGTCTTATATTTTACATTTTTATAATAAACATTCATGACTTTTACACCTGAGTACTCATCTCCTTTGCTACAACCTTGAGTCTGATTGGCTTTTCTCAGAGGCTATTGGAAACGTCTAGATGTGATCTTTTGAAGTTTGACTTGGGGAACAAAGAATTGGCTTTTTTTTTTTCCTCTGAAGATTTTTTTATTCTCTCTTCCATTGAAACAGGTTTAAGACTATAACCGGTCTCCAATCAGTATTTAGACTATTAGTAAATTATTACCCTAACCGCATCTAGTTGATTAGTCTTTCTGTTTCTAAATTGGAAGTGAGAAGCTGCTAATTACATTTTAGCCTAGCATATTTGAATACTTCAAAACTACACTGTGTAACATATATGCTAATGCCCTTTGAAATAAACCTAATGTTTTTAAGATAGCCATGCTAAATTAAAAGAAGTCTATCTTAAGTTTATAAGTTATTCTTGTGTGTCATACAGTACAGTCATACCTTGGTACTCGTTGGCTTCAGAACTCATCAAACCCTGTTCTCATTGTATTTGAATGAGAAAAAAATGTTTTAGCCCTTGGCGCTTGCTTGGGACTCGTCGCACTTGCTAGAACTTCTGTGAGTCCTGATGCTGTCCCACAAGAGAAGCCTCAGCTCTCGCCGTTTGCTCGGTGCTCGTCGGTTCTGGCACTCCTCATGAGTCCTGGAGTGCATTAGTGATGAGTACCGAGGTACCACTGTGGGTTGGTTTTATTTATAAATGCCAGTAAAAGTACCTGTGAAACCTGGTGTGGAATATGACAAAATCAGAGATCAATATAGTCACTTTGTGAAGCTGATTTCTGCTCAGAGGGAACCAAATTACAGTCAGCTCCTTGTATCTGTGGGTTTTGCATCTGCGGGTCTAACCGACGTTGGAGCGAAAGTATTAAAGGAAAAAAATCCCAGAAAGTTCTAAAAAGCAAAACTTGAATTTGCCAAGTGCTGAGCACTATGCTGAACCCACGTGAATGCAGAGCTGTGTGGGCACACCCCGCGTAGCCTATGTGCAAATGTGCGTTCTGTGCACAATACCACGCCATTTTATACCCAGGGGTAGAGTGTCCTTGATCTGAGTATCGACAGGGGTGATGGGCCTGGAACCAGGCCCCCGCGGATGCCCATGGACAAGTGTATGCACTTTCCGAAGCCTAAGATGTTGACAGTTAACAAAATGAAGCATTTGGATGATCAGGAGACAGAAGCTGGCAACAGATTGTTTGGAATTGTACTCAGTGCCTTATCAAATGAGTAACATACTTAGATACTGTTTTAAAAAAAATCATTGTGGTAAAATACATATAACATAAAATATAACATCTGAATCATTTTGTAAGTGCACAGTTCACTGATGTTAAGTACAATCACGGCGTTGTGCGACCATCGCCGCCACCTGTCTCTGGAGCACCTTTGATCTTGCAGAACAGAAACTCTGTCCCCGTGAAACACACCCACTCTCCATCCGCCTCCCTGCAGCTCCTGGTGGCCCCCATTCTACTCTCTGCCCCTGAGTTTGGCTTGGCTTATTTCCCTGAGAGTAACTCCCTCAGGGGTTATTTATGTTGTGGTATGGGTCAGAATTCCCTTCCCTTTAAAAAAAAATTATTTTTTTCAATTACATACAAGTTGACATACAACATTGTATTAGTTTCAGGGATACAGCATAGTGGTTAGACATTCATACGCCTTATGAAGTGTTTGCATCAGTACATCTCACAGCCATCTGATATCATACATCGTTGCTACAATATTATTGACTATATTCCCTATGCTGTACTGTACATCCCTGTGGCTATTTTATAACTGGCAATTTGTACTTAGATACTATTAAACTTGAAGGTTTTGGTTTTTTAAAAAACAAATAGATCATAGCCTTTTGACAATTGGCTCTTCGTAAGCAAACTACATGCATTGTTAGGAAAGTTGGGCAGAAGATATCCAGTTGAATTGTGAATTAATGAAATTCCGTGCTTAACCTAATGCATACTGCTTAAAACACAGGTGTTTCTTTTGTTGGTTGAATATGGTCTGATTTCCATTTCTGCGTCATTTACCTGCATGGAGATTAAGAAAACTCCTTTTTATTAAATAAGCTTGAAAACAAGATGAATGCACTAGGCTCTTGGGCAGAATTATTGGATGGCTCTCTTTATAATGAGCATTTAGAAATCTGCCCTCCTAAAACTGAAATGCATTTTCTCCTGCACGGAAGCAATCTAGCACTGAAATATTCCTCCTTAATTTTGGTCCGAGTGAACAAAAGTGTCTGTGTTTATTCCTGCCTAATGCATCACAAATCTGCTGACATGCTAACCTTGGAGTCTCGGCTGGCGTTAATCAGGCCTGTGCACCGGCAGGAAAGACGGACCTAATGCACTCCATCAGTGCGGTTTGCATATGGACGTTCTCGCTGGGGAGCTGCCCCGTGCCAGCTGAGGGTTACCTGCCCACTGCAGTTATTGTATGTAATTATCGAACCAATCTGTTCAGCCCAGCAGGGCTTAGATGGTAATCATGAAGCAACCCTTTGGAAAAGAGAGATGTGAGGCACTTCCCCTTCCCTCATCAGTTATATGAAGTTCCAGCCACCTTACAGCTATTTTTGAGAAGGAACACCTCCATGTACAAATCTGCTAAGTGTATGCTTTTCAGGTTTCCTAGCTTCAGCCAGGTCGTTAGTCTTGCATTGGTGAAGGTTTTTCTTTAGGAACATGGCGGGTATCCCTGAGCTCTAATCTTTCATAGCCCCCTTGAGAGTATTCTGAAACAGGGGGCTTAAAGTAATACATAATAAGAGTTAATGAGAATTGGGACCATTTGGAGGCTTTGAGAGGAGGTGGTTTGAGCCGAGTGGGGCTTTCCTGGCGAGCTGTCTCTGGAGCAGAACCCTGGCTGCCGGGAGCAGGTGCTTCGCCCCAGGGGCCCGGAGCAGGGACGAGTCTCAGGTGAGGCTTCGCTTGGTGTCCGTTGTTTGAAACCCTAAAGGAGGCCATTCCGAGGCGTTGTGAATGTGGGCAATGTGCAAAGTGTCAGGTGATTTCCTAAATGATACACACTTACTTTAGGCGACCTAGAGAAGCGTCTGGTTATAATTTGCTTTTTAGCACATTTACATTTGAGACTACATGAAATAAAGTGATGTGAAAAATGCAAAGTTTTAAATTTATTACCAAGTTCCTTCTAGAGTTATACCTACATATAGAGATATTAGGTGATTTAAAAACTTTACACAGGAATGAACTAGTTAGGAAATGGTGCGGTGAGGGAAAGGGATACAAAGCAATCGAATGAACAATTGGGAAGGAAGGGATGGTGACAGAATACTAATTTTTAAGTAACATTCAACTGTAAAAATAAATAGAAAATAGGAAAGACCAGAGAGAGTAGTGGAAAAGCCAAACTGTTTTTGAGATTTTTAGGAGAGCTATGTACTTTTAAGACCCTTCTTTTATAGTACGGTTTCTGGCCCTCTTAAACTTTTAAAAAAATATTCCGGAAGAAAATATAAACAGTCCCCTCCCCAGACACATATCGTAAAATGGGAGAGTAAGTGTCATCGCCCTCAGCGAGCGGTGTGATACTTAGTTTATCAAACACTCAGCTTTAAAAGAGGGTTCCTTTGTAATCAGTCCTGATGGTGAGAGCGTGGCTTTCAGTAATGAACTATCGAAGCACAAAAGGTTAGACGTGGGTATAACAGGTGTACCCGCCATGCGGACTGAGCAGTGGAAGGTTCTCCTAGCCCCCTTGTTTTCTGCTCCCCCCTCCCCTCAGGGGCCCCCTGCCCTGGGGCTGTGTAGAGCGGCCCCGTCCCCGACCCCGCATTTCTCTTTCCTCAGTATCAGTTACCTGCAGTCCGCCGCGGTCTGAACATATTAAATGGGAAATTTCAGAAATAAGCAACTCATAAGTTTCAAATCGTGCACTGTTCTCAGCAGCATGATGACATCTCCCGCCACCCGGCCTGACGGGTGAACTGTCCTGTTGTCCAGCGTTTCCACCCTCCGTTAGTCGCTCAGCAGACGGCTAGGTTATCACATCGACTGTGGGATGCCACGGCCTTGTGTTCAAGTCGCCCTTATTTTAATGATGACCCCAACGTGGAAGGGCAGTGACGCTGGCAATTCACCGGTGCCGGCGAGAAGCTGCGCCGGGCCTGCTTCTGGTGAAAAGGCGTGTGTCTAGGAAAAAATGTGCTGTGCTGTGTATAGGGCTTGGTGGTGCTACCTGCAGTTTCAGGAGTCCACCGGGGCTCTCGGGACGTGTTGCCGCCAGAGAAGGGGGGCTGCTGTTTCTGTATGTTTTGACGCAGCACACCTGTATAGATTCAGATATGTACTAATACACAGAAAGTGTGTGTGTTCGTGTATTTGACCATGGGACCGCATCTCTTTCTCTTTAAATCCTTATGTGTAAGCAGCGGAAGAGAGAAACTGAGGCGCGCACAGAAGCCAGTGTGGAGGACGTGGAGTGCTCTGACGCGCAGACGGGAGAAGGCGTGCAGACCCGTAAGTTGGCCAGTCCTGCCTGTTGTCTTTTTCCAGATGTAAACACAAATTTCCTTTCCTTGTGCTAAATAAGGGGCTGACTATGCAGGTCGTCACATTGAGATTTTATAATGAAGTGTTGCAGGAGAAGATCTTATATTTGTGTAGTGTGTATCACAGTGTCTTTTGTACACACATTGTTTTATTTACTGTCCACGGTAATCATGAAGTTGGGACTGGGAGTGTCCCTCATTATGCAGCTATGGAGCCCAAGACACCGAGTATTTAAATGACAGAGCCCTTGAGAAAGGGTTGGACGGGGAGACCTTGGGGCCAGACCTTCCATTCCTGTACATGTGCCCGGGGAGGGCCGGGGCCGGGCCGGGGCTCAGGCCCTTCGCGCTGGGCTTCCCACAGCTGCCCGGCTCCCCTTGTCCGCGCTGCCTGGTCGTTCCCCACAAAATGCCAGTCTCCTTCTCTCTTGATAGTTGGGATTCAAGGAATCAGAGCCTTGAATCATCATTTTTCAAAAAGCTCTTGAATCAAAAAGCAAGGTGAAAAGGCATTAGGTGGCGCTCAGATGGGGCCGCTGGCAGCTGCGGTGCGGGGCAGCCCCTCTGCTGGCCGGACTGGGCGGGGCGCGGCCTGGGCAACAAAGGGCCGCCTGGGACGGGCAGACCTGCGGAGACCAAAAAAGTGGGAAATGTGTCCGTGGGAGATGAGGCACCAGGCTAAGAAGAGTCACTGCGGCTGCAGTACCGTTTCTTCCTTGTCTGTCGTTTTTCTGGTCTTTGACGTCTTTCTAAGCGGCTGGGCTCACTCAGGTAGGCATCTCATTAAAACGAGAGTGTCCTGCCGAGCCGGGCCGATGGCCGCCGCACCTGCCCGTGGCCTGTGGCCCCTGGCCCTGTGCACGCCTGTCAAAGAGAGTCACCTCCGGCCTGATTTTGTCAACATTTTATTACGTATCACGGCTGGAACATCCTTGGGTTTACCTGGATTGACCCAGGAGTACACTTGGGATACGTGACGAGCAGGTCCAAGTTCTGAAGTCGTCCCGGCCCTTTCTGCAGCCGTGTCCCTCCCCCTGCTGGTTCCCCTCCCGCCCTCTTGCTCACTGCCTTACCTCACGGGAGTGAGGGCTCCTGGGGAGCTGTGTCAGCCCGAGGCAGCAGTAGCTGCTGCCACTGACTGGAAGCAGAATTAGGGAGCATTGACACAGATAGAGTCCTGTTCTCATTTTAAAACCCCCCTTGAATTCCACAGCGGGCAGTTTCAGTTTAGGAAGGGCCCGGGATTGTCCAGTGAGGCGGGTGCACACCTAGAGCAGGTGAGCTCGCAGGCTGCGTGGGGAACCAGCTTCTCCTCGCTGCCCGGGGTGCTGCTACCCGAACTTGGCCCACCGGGCATCTGAGGCAGTAGTTTGGGTGCACATATGATTTTAAATTTGATTATAATTATAAAAAATGTTTTTTGTCCCTAAAATTTTAATTGAAGGCCCTTAAACTGGTAGTTTTTACTGTGAGAAAATATGTTAATATTTTTGTTTTATTTAATAGTGACAAAATGAGAGAGTAGCTCCCATTGCTAATTTAAGAAGTCAGATTTTTTGATATAAAAATGTGAAGAATAATCATATTCTTCTTTATTCACAAACTCTGAATTGCTTTACTTAAATACTGTTTATTTTCTCATTGTAATTTCTTTTTCCCTAAAGTATAAGGCTAGTTAAAGTATTTTACTATCTAAATATTGAAAAATGAGAGAAATACCTCCTGAGATGATAAAATATTATTGCTTCTATAGCCAATAAATAAATAAATAAATAAATAAATAAATAAATAAATAAAGCCTGGGGGTCAGGAAAATGTACATACTTGTATTTATCAGTTTAAAGTAACTTGAAGAAAGCACATTATTATGTTTGAATTTTTAAAAAAATATGTAATCCAATTCAGTGAATTCTGTTTTAGAGCTTTAAGATTTTGTGTCATAAACGTGTTTGAAGAATGGTTACCTCTCACAGCAGCTTTAGAAATGTCAGTTTCTTCATTAACAATTTTATTTTCAAACACAATTTATGGTTTACAATATGGTAAGAGATTTTTCTCACTGTGTGATCTTTTAGAATGCTGTGCCTAGCAAAATGGGAGCAACTTCCCTTTAATATCTATTTAGACCATTTTAAAAACGTGTATAATTTTCTTGATACACCTAAACTCATTTCGACTAGTTGGGGGTCTATTGTGTAAGAACATGCTCTGAAAGCTTTCAAAATGTGTATTGTGTAGGTTTTCTCAAAGAAAGAGAGGGGGTGAGGGCTGGTTTTCAAGAAGAACAGAGGCCTGTAATCCTTTTATTTTTATGCAAGGCATAATTTTTACCAATTGAGAAAATTTGGTTATTTGCTGCAAATAATTTCTTTCCCCCACAAAATGATAAGCCTTAAAAAACCATATGTATTGTGGTGTTTCAAAACCATGCCAGTATTTCAGAATTGGACTAAAAATTAGTTAATGTAGCCATGATATTTATGGCTTGTATACTCGTACTTTGCCATTACTGTTCACAGAATGGACAGTATACAACAGTAGCCTTGTTGGTGTTTTTTTATCTTTGAAGTACCTTGGATTTTGGACCACCCTTGAAGATTCTTTAAGGAAAGCATGATTTATATTTACCTCTTGAATATCTATGGTCTAGTTAAGAAGGAGATATTTTTAAGGGCACTCTACATAGGCATTTCCCACTTGTTTTTTACCTTCTGCATTATAAATTCATAGAGTATCCCCAAACTTTACATTCTGTTTTTCAAATACTAAATTATACACTTACTAGTTTTGCGATTGGAACTTTTACTAGTAGTAGCGTATTATGGAAATGAGTATATTTTTCAAAGAGATGAGAAGAGAAATACATTTTTCTGCAGCAGTTAGAATTATTAAGGAAATATTGAATTAATACATGCAGCAAAGTATGTAAGTTGCATAATACTGATTATATAATACATTCCAGGTGTTGATGACATTGGACTTTAAATCTAGATTGAAGGGATGAGCAGCAATGATATTTATTTTGAGTGAAATGTCAGATTAGGACGTTAATGAGACCCTATTACTTGAATATAGATAGCTGTAATCGTTGTTAACGTTAATGTTCTTAGTATGGAACTGTAGATTCAAAAGGTATTGAAAGGGAGATGTGCCATAGTATTGATTATTGGCCTTGATCTTGTGATACCATTTAGCCAATCTCAGAAGATCACAACATTTTCAGTTTTCTGTGCCAAATTAATTTCAAAATTCTTGATGTAAACAGCTAAAAATCTACCAAGGGATACTTTAAAAGGCCATATCACAAAAATTGAAGGAAAAACTCAGAAGTTTAAACCAACCATATTATAGGCTATACTTTTGAGTGGCAGAAAAAAAGATAGTTTTATATGTTTGAAATTTGCTTTTAATTTAGTGCAGTGATTTTAAACCTTTTTCATCTCATGGCACACATATGCTAATTACTAAAATTCTGCAGCACACCAAAAAATATATTTTTGCCTCTCTGACAAAAAAATAGGTATAATTTTGACTCATTTATACCTGACAGCTATTGTTGTATTGTGTGTTGTCATTATTTTTTTTATTGGGCAGTCTCAGGGAAAAGTGGTCAGTGCCCCTGACTAAATAGTCAGATATTGCATGTTTTAAAAATTCTTGCAGCACACTAGTTGAAAATCACAGATGTAGGGTATGGCAGTTGAATAGAAACTAGAAACTTGGAAAAATTAAAGAAAAACACTAATTTTTAAACTGATCTTCCAGTTAACTGACTAAATAAATCTGTAATCAGAAAACCTTTAGACATTATTTATTATTAGACATGTGTTGTAGATGTTTTGTCCTAGATTCAAAGAATGTTTTGTACACTTCAGAAAGGAAGTATTGATCTCTTTGTTGTTCGGTGCGCTTGTTGATCGATCACGAGCTGCCGCGCTGCCCCTCATGCTGGCAGAGCGCAGCACTGGGCTTCGTCCCGACTCCGCTGCGCTCGAGTGGGAGGTGGCGTGGGGGTGGTGGCGGGGAGCAAAGTCTCCTTGGCGAGGCAGAACTCTTGTGCTCCCAATAAAGAAGTGCTGATTTGTTCCAACCCAGGAACAGTTGCATAGGAACTGTCATAAGTCACGTAGACGAGCCTCTTCTAGAAGGCTGCACAGGCGGGATCTTCTTAATTCCTAGTGGTAAAGACTGGGGGTAGTCACATGCACTCCCGCCTAAACAGTGCGGGTAAACCAGGTTTTTACAGGCCACATGGTGGTGTGGGGGTTGACTGTGGGAGCTGGGGGGTGGGCTGGGCGGAGGAGGCCAGAGGGGGCAAAAATTGGGACAACTGTGATAGAATAACAATAAAAATAAGTAAATAAAAGGCAGCACATTTAGAATAAAATGCCTTGCTTTTCATAAGATGCATAACCTCGTCAAGTTCCCCAAGGAGTGAATACTTAACTTGTATAGTTTACATTTGGGTTGATGTTTTAAATTCTACAATAAGGTTTTTGGGAGAAATACTGTATTTCAGGAGCAGTGTAAACTGGGTATGTTTTACCAGTGGAGGAGTTTTGCTGCTACTTAAAAGGTAGACTTTGGCAGCATATTTTTTTGACATATTAAAAAATTGACACAATTTTCTAAAATGTTCAGGGCGTTAACAGTGATACCTTTGTATGCATTTCATCTCCACAAATCATCATGGTCAATAAATTTAAAATATTAGTAACTCTATATGGAAATACAGTTCTGTTCTTCTTTTGCTTTTGTAAATTAATGATTAATGTTTTAAATTTCTTTATTTTCTCTTCAAGGTTCAAGAGGGAGAAAGAGAGTCCAGAAGTAAATTACATGCTGTGAACCAGTTTTCTTTTTTTTCTTTCATTTGACTTTTTCTTCTTTTTCTATTTTAAGTGTTTTCATGTGAGTCTTGTGGGTGGGGGTAACAGGAAAATACCAATGTCTTTGAAAAACAATTTTTTTAATTAAAATAAATACTTTGTACAATTTATTAAAGGCTAACTTACAAAATTTCAGAATCTTTAGGTTCTATATATTCTCTTTAAGCTGTCCCACACTGTGTGGAAGTTTCTGGACACTTACAGAACATTACAGTGACACGCACTTTCTAGTCACCATGTATTTCCCGGAGAGAGGAAAATGCTCGACCAAGTCCTTCCTTTTAGGAAATACGAAGCTGAACATAAAGGGATCTTTTTGCTTGATAAAAACCCAGAGTTTGTTGTGGCCATAAGTTTGTTTTGTATTGATTTTGTTGAGTTCTACAAGCATTTCTTAAGCACTTTCGTATGAAAAGAGAGGTGCAAAAAAGGGAAGGGATATGAAAGAAAAAGTGGAGTAATAATTATATATGGGACAGGTCAAATACACGTATTGGAAAGTTAAATTATGTAAGATTTATGTCAGTGTGCAAGCCGTGCGGTGAGGAGGCAGATGGTGACTGCCACGTGGCGGTGTGACTGCGGGGTTTCTGGGCCGGCTTCTCTTAAGGAAATGTGAAATCCTCCTGTGAAATGCACCTCTCTATCTGTCCGTCTCTCTTTCTCGTCTGTATCTCTCCTCCTCACTCTCTCTTTATATTTGATTGTTCACGTACAGATTATTTTTCTTACAAGTTTCATTTTCTTACAGCATCTATTTGTCCAGTAAACCAAAAACTTGAAGGTTTTGGTGATTAGAAATGTTAATGTGTGGACTTTCTATAGTTGCCCGGGCACAGAAGCTTGGAATTGAAACATTTATGAACAATCTCAAGGTTCCCTGCGGTAGAGAGTCCGAGACTGGCGTGTCCCAGTGCTGACAGGCCTCGCCGGCGGCGTCCGGTGCGGTGTGGTGAGATGGTGCGGGGCGCTCTTGTATTGCACCGTGGAAGCATTTATTTTAACATGGATTCAGAACGCAAGTAGCACGTTAAACCAGTGATTTTCTGCACTGCTCAGGACAAGAATAATGTAGGTATTTCAGTGTTTACAACAGCAGGTTGATGTGAGGAAAATGTTCAGCAGTAGCATGGGTGACACATAGACCAGCAGTCGCCCAGGTCGCACCTGTGTGAGCAGCTCCGGACCCGCACAGACTGTAACTTTCGCTCTCCACTGCGGACATCGAATTGTCCCGTGAAGCATTTGCCCCTGTAGAGGTTGCACACTGAAAACTGCAGGACCGACCTGCAGACTTGCCTGGAGAGGTTCCTCTCCAGTGCCTGCTGCGGCCCTCGGCCCGAGTCTTCGCAGAGCGGAGAGCCCGGCTCGGGCAGAGACCGCTGCTGCCTGCGGAGCGCTGGGTTCTGGAGCCCATCCGTGTCGCGGTCCCGAGTTTATTTGTAACACCCAGATCAACTCTCAGGTTCTGTTTCAAACACATTGATGCCTAAAAAAGGATACAATGTGTGTGGTGTGTTTTTGTGTATATGCCTTAGCCTTTTTTATTTTTCCAAACACAAAAACATAGCAAAACCTGTGGGTTAAATATTAAGAAAACAAATATTTCCTCACATACTGTTTTTAACAAGTGCTGGCATTTTCTCGAACGTCACTCTGCTGGCAGGGCTGCAGGAGGCAGAACCAGCGGCCCCAGCAGCCGGTCCGACGGCGCAGCTGCGGCGCTGTTCCGTGGGCGTCCGTCCTGCCAGCGCCAGCGCCTCGTACCTTTCTTTAAACAAGAAAGGTTAAATAGCTCTCCTGTCATTCAGCCTCCTCCTCCTCCTCCTCCTCTTGCTGCTGCTGCTTCCTCTTCCTCTTCTTCCTCCTCCCATTCCCCGCATCAGTGGGTTTTGCCACTTTGTTCACCCTCCACAGTTCAGCTTCCACACCTGACAGGTGTTCCTCACCGTTTTGTCGCCGCCTCTGCCATTTTCTCAGGTCTGTCGAGGACCGACACCCCTGGGCCCAGCTCCTGTTCTTCACACAGTGGGACCGTGGGGGCTCTGTGTTTTCTAGAAAGCCTCCAGTACATCTTAGGGACTGACAAAGCCCTGCAGTGGGAGAGCTTCGAGGTGGTCTTCAGAAGTCCTCTCCTACGACAAAGAAAATGTGAATAGGCCAGAGCCATAGAACCCCAGTCATCGTTCTGAATTACTATGTTAAATGTGTCTCTACAGACCCGAGTTGCAGAGCAATACATTAGTGGTGGAACTATAAGTAAATGACGTGCATTTGACAGGGCGGGGGTGGGGTGGGGTGTGTGTGTGTGTGTGTGTGTGTGTGTGTGTGTGTAGTTGAGTATTGTATGCTTGTTTATACTTTAAAATTCTATTTTTAGCCCTGGCTGATGTGACTCAGTGGATTGCATGCTGGCCTGCGAACCAAAAGGTTGTAGGATTGATTCCCAGTCAGGACACATGCCTGGGTTGTGGGCTAGGTCCCCCGCTGAGGGTGTGCGAGAAGCAACCAGTCAATGTATCTCTCACACGTTGATGTTTCTCTCCCTCTCTTTCTCCCTCCCTTCCCCTCTCTCTAAAAATAAATAAAATCTGTAAAAACAATTCCATTTTTAGTGCTCTCTTTTATTCTGGTTATCAGTGTGCAGTAATAAGACATGGTCATAGCAAGAAATTTGGAACATGCAGAAAACTGTCAGAAGACAAACCAGCTATGCTCCTGCTGCCATAGCCGATGGCTGTTAGCGTTTTGACGTTTTCTTCTAGTCTTTTCTGGCATTTTTATCTTTAAATAATTACCATACTTTATATAAAGCTTTATATTCTGCTTTTAAGGCTAATATTAAATACTTCCCATGTTATTACAGATAATAATTGATAAACATAATTTTTATGTTTCCCTAATATATTTTTCTTATGGATTCATGATTCACGACCATTTCTCTAATATTGGATGTTTGTTTTCAGTATTGCAAGAATATAAGCATTATTCATGAATAGGGCAGAAATCTTGGTCCATACGTACAAATATTTCTTCAGATTTTTAAAAGTGAACCACTTGGCTAAAGACTAGAAGCCTGGAAGGAGGTTACTGACGTACATTATCAGAGTGCTTTGCAAAAATCCGTCACTTAACAGATGCCTGGTAAATCAGGGTGGTCAACTTGCATTTTTTCATTTTTGAGCATTACTATGTTTTACAATTTGGTAACAAATTCTTTTAATGGCTAGTGAATCTGAGCAGTTTTTATTTGCAAACTGCTCATTGTGTTCTTTGGTGGGTGTGTTTGTACTGTTTGTATAGTAATAATCTTAGCTCTTTGTCATGTTTGTCGCTGACTTTTTCTGGTTTATTTTTTATTGCTATATTTTTTTATTTTTATGAAGTTTGAGTTTTATGGTTTAATCTTTTGATCTTTTTTTCATTGTAAATTCTGCCACTGTTTTAAAATATTTCCCATCCTGTAATCAAATATTTACAATTTTTTTAGGGTTTTTTTTTTTGTTTTAATACTTAAACATTTTTAATCCATGTGAAATTTATTTTGGGGTGTGTGTACACAATGAGGTAAGAATCACAATGGATTTTTCCCGAATAGCTAACCAGTAGCTCCAGTATCATTTGCTAAATAAGTTCTCTACGCCACCTGCCTGCCACTCTGGTTTGCGATGTCTGCTTTGTTACTAAGTTCTATACCAGGGTCTGTTTCTGGACTCTGATTGATTTCATTGATCTGCGTGTTCTTATGCCCACACCATACTGATTTACTTAATATTATTTAACTTGTTAATTCTTATTTATTGCCCAAAGCAAATTAATAGGAATCAAAATGGAAGAAAAAAAATACTTAGACTCTCATCATCAGTATAAAATTTAAACTTATCTTTTGGCTGCGTTTTTAGTCTTGCTTCATGCCTGCCTAATTTTTCATAGTTAAAACAATTGCTCAGATAAAGTTTTGTGGTTCTTGTTTTTTTCTTAAAGTTCACTGGTTATTCTGTACCCCTCATTTATGAAGGTCAACAAGGAGTGAAGGCCACCCCGAGGCCTGGTCCTGGGAAGGGCTTCCAGTAAGCGAGGCTGCCCACGGTGCGGTGGTTCGGTGCGGTGCGCCATAGGTCCTTTGGGCTAGGCAGCGCGCTCTCAGGTCATTCCACAGGCAAAGTGCCTACCGCTTCCCCGTACTGAGGAGGTGTTACTCAGCTAGTGGTGAGTTTTCTCCTATTACTGCAGTAGCATTTTGCGACTTACGAGTAGTGTTTCTAGATTTTTGTAATATCGTCTTGTCATGAAATTACCTGTGCAATTTCTGCATTGAGCAAATTAGTTTTATTTATAAACCACTGCAAATAATCTTTGGAAAAGCTCTGTTTTCTGACTTCGAGGTTCAACATTAGTTAGAGGTCTGAATTATCAGAAGTGTGAGTGGAGATGATCTACGTAGTCTTTGTGCCTGGAGTGCAGAGGCTGGAAGGGGTTTTGAAGGTGTGAATCTGCAGTTTGGAGGGGCAGGAGGTAAGGAGGTGTCTGAAATCTGTTCCTGTTTTTCTGTAGGTTGTCTTTCTTTTAGAACGTCGTGGCCATGATCACAGCTATGTAGATGAACACCTTATAACACCTGGACTGCAGTTTGTTTAAAAATGAAAAATGGCTGTCTTCAGTATTCTCTCTGACTGACAAAACGCTTAGCACAGAAGTTCGTGATGGTCCCTTTTGGTGTCATTCTCAGATGGATGCGATGCTTCTACACACGTTCTCTGACTTTCCCCATAGGGTCCCACGCGTGTTAGGACTTAGAAGTCAGAGCGCAGCCACCGAAGGGCCTGCTGCCCCGGAGCACGCGCAGCTCCAGGGCGGTGTGGGTCACGGGGAGAGCGACTCCGTTGGAGTGCCTGGTGCAGAAGGGAGGACTGGAGCTCGCTGCCTGGACTTTTCTAGAGAAAGGTGCCTTCAAGACCCTTAAGAAGCCCTTTATGTTCTGGGCATTTTAGGTCCCTCTCCCCAAACTCCCCAAATAAAAGCTCTGTCTTCCTTTAGTTGGTTGTGTTGGGGCTAGTGCAGGAATCAGTCGCT